AGGAGTAGCTCTGTGTTATATTACCCTCATCCTCCTCCTGGGACCAGTTGATGAGCCTGGGTTTCTTTGTCTCATTCTGATGGCAGAGGGGCAAGAAGGCAAGCAGAAGAGTGCACGGCCTCTGGTGACACCATCGCCTCTGTCCACTGCCCAAAGCAAGGCCCATGGCTGAACTCAAAGAGAAAAGGAAGCCTGCCCTACTCATGGACATAGGGAAGGGCAAAAAATTAGGACCAGTGCCGTGGTCTACCACATGGTTATGATGTCAGTTTTGCTGCACATACATCCACAAAATAGGTTTGCAAACACTGGAGTAAGTAGGTGGGAAGCTTCCAAGCAAACAGCATGGTTTCAAAAGCAGGTTCCTAAAGAAACCAGTGCTCCCCGCAGAATGCAGAAGTTTTGGTTGTGTTGATCATTGCTGGGCACAGTGTCAGGTCTTTGGTTTTTATGCTGTACCTAAAAATGTATAACCTACCTGGAAAAGGACTCAGGCATCATTCAGTCCAAATATTACCTTTTTTCACAGTCTCAAACTCCAGGCCCAGAAAGAAGAAAAGTCTTGCCCAAGTTCACCCTGCCTAGATCCAGCCTCAACTTAATGTTTCCTCTCCTCCCCTGCAGTGCCAGGGGTCAGCTGGGCTTGCTACACTTCTAAGACAAAGTGCAGGGACTACAGGTGAATGCAAATCAAACGTAAATGAAGCTTAGGATGACTACCTATGGTTGTTATGAGAATTTGAGAAGATGACAAATCTGTAATACCTGGCACATAGTAGCTATGCAATGCCCGATGGATAGTGCCAATATGAATGAATAAAGGTGGCTGCTCCGAGGCAGGAAAGGTGGCATGATTGGGGGAGCAGGAACCGACACTGGCTTTAAGAAGACTTTCATCAGGTGCTAGGACAGGAATGGTTTGTAGGTGGCCTGTGGGGTCACACAGCTTTCTCTGCCCTTTCTCAGACTGGCTCTGATTTTGTGCATTGGATGGAAACAATGTGGTCCTAAAGATGAGGCAGATTTTGCCTGAGTGGAAGGACTGATGAGCTGAGCGCCAGTGCAGCAAGCAGGCAGCAGGAAGGACGTTCCCCACAGCACCACTCACATTTGCTACCTCCCTAAAGAAGGCAGAATCCCCACCGACCACACCCAGCGAAGTGGCTTCTGTTAAATTGTTAACTGCATGTTTTCCAGGCCTTTCCAGGAGTTCTCCGACACATCCCACGTCCTGAGTGTTATGCAAGTTGGGGGTGAGGATGTAGAGCATGCCCTCGGGACATCCACAGTCTGCCAGGTTAGAGAAAACTGCCCAGCCCTGAGGTCAAACCAATGGCTCCTGGGTTGCAAGGACACAGAAAAGCAACTCATTTGTTCAATTTTACTATTTCCTAAATTCTTTCAAAGCAGAGATCATGTTTTCTTCCCCAGCACCTAACAGGGTGCCCTACAGACAGAAAGCACTCAATAAATGTCTGTCAAATGAATGAGCATTGGATTGGTCTGAGAGGTTACTAAGTCTTTATGGAGGAGATGAAACATGACCCAGGCTCTGATGAATGGGATCGAAATCCTTGATGGTCGATTTCTTTGGATATATACTTGCTTTCCCTACACTCAATGCTTCTGCACAAACTACCATGCATAGACTTAGAGACAACCTTAACCTTTATCATGGTATTCCACACAATTGTTTCTGGTCAAGGAACTCACCTCACAGCAAGTGAAGTACAGACTTGTACCCTCACTTGCCAAATTCATTAATCTTGCCATATTCCTGCCATTTTGAAGTCTCTGGCTTGATATTAGGTTGGTGCAAAAGTAATTGCGGTTATTGCCAAAAAGTAATTGAGGTTTTTACCGTTAAAAGTCATGGCAGAGGCCGGGCGTGGTGGCTCAAGCCTGTAATCTCAGCATTTTGGGAGGCCGAGGCGGGTGGATCACAAGGTCAAGATATCGAGACCATCCTGGTCAACATGGTGAAACCCCGTCTCTACTAAAAATACAAAAAATTAGCTGGGCATGGTGGCACATGCCTGTAATCCCAGCTACTCGGGAGGCTGAGGCAGAAGAATTGCTTGAACCCAGGAGGCGGAGGTTGTAGTGAGCCGAGATCCCGCCATTGTACTTTAGCCTGGGTAACAAGAGCAAAACTCCGTCTCAAAAAAAAAAAAAAAAAAGTCATGGCAGAATAACTGTAAATCAGTATTCAGTACATGGTGCTGTTTCTTCCATTGCCAGGATTCACAGGCCCAGGGATCAAGGTGTGGAAATGAGTTAGGAAATGGGACTATAATGGTAATGAGTGCTGCTACTGCAACTCTGATCTCCGGGTCCTCTAAAAGAGATCCTCCTTGATCCCTAGTCATTCTCTAGCATAGCTTTAGCTTTCCATCTCTGTTCCTTTATACTCTGTTGACCTAGAGGTCTTAGTTCCAGAGGGAGAAATGCTTCCTTCAGAAGCAACAACGATTCCATCGAACTAGAGGTTAAGATGGGCTCCTCATGCCTCTGAGTCAACAGGCAGAAAGAGAGTTACAGGGCTGGCTGGGGTGATGGATCCTGACTGCCAAGGGGCAACTGGGTTGCTCCCACAACTAACTGGGGCTTAGGAAGGGTATGTCTGGAACACTGCAGATCCCTTGGGACGTCTCTTAGTATTACCATGTCTTGGAATCAAAGTCAACGGAAAACTACAACACTCAATTCAGGCGGGATTGCTAACAGCCCAGATACTTCAGGAATAAATATTTGGGTCATTCACCAGGCAAAAAACCATGATCAGCTGGGGTGCTTGCTGAGGACAAAGGGAATGGGTGATGAAAGAAGTTATAAACAGCAGCTAGGATCATGTGGCCAGTTGCAGAAATGAGGACTATAATTATATTTCTTCCCTTATTTTGTTATGAATATGTTCTGTGTGTATATATATGTATTAATTAAATGATTTTGTTTTCTTCTCTTGCTTATCTTCTTATCATCACACATATATATTAACAGCAGCCAGGTTTATGTCATAGTATTTAAGTTACAGAATATCACGCGAGAAGAGTGGGCATCACCCAAGTCCATCACCTCCTCTTCTGCAGAAGGGTTAGCAGGTTTTCGGTTGTATGCAGGACAGTTGTGTTATGTTTGATGGGAGTATGACTTTGTCATTATCTTTATTTAGAGATTAAGCATGGGTTTAGGATATGTGTTTAGATTCCAGATTGACAAGGAGTAGACTGTTTTATGTGATGGTCAGTTCTATGTGTCAGCTTGGCTAGGTTAGCATCCCCAGTTATTCAATCAAATACTAATCTAGGTGCGCTGTGAAAGGCTTTGTAGATGTGATTGAAGTCCACAGTCAGTTGACTTTAAGTAAAGGAGATTATGCTAGATAGTCTGGAGATACCAGGCGCAGTCTCAGGCTATAGTCCAGAGACAGAATTCCTGGATAGCCTGGCCTATAGATTTTAGACTTGTCTGGCCAATCTCCAGAATTGGATTTGCCTTTCCCCTTTCCTTCCCCTTCCCCTTCCCCTTCCCCTTTCCCTTCCTCTTCCCCTCCCCTCCCTCCCTTCCTTCATTTTTTCTATTTTTTTTAGGTGGAGTCTTACTCTGTTGCCCAGGCTGGAGTACAATGGTGCCATCTCAGCTCACTGCAACTTCCACCTCCTAGGTCAAACCATTCTGCCTACCTCAGCCTCCCAAGTGGCTGGGATTACAGGTGCTCACCACCACCCCCAGCTAATTTTTTGTATTTTTAGTAGAGACAGGGTTTCACCATGTTGGTCAGGCTGGTCTTGAATTCCTGACCTCAGGTAATCCTCCTGCCTTGGCCTCCCAAAGTGCTGGGGTTACAGGCATGAGCCACTGTGCTCGGCCAGATTAGCCATTTCCTTGCAATAAATGTTTTAATATGTCTCTCCTACTGGTTTTGTTTCTCTGGTTGAACTCCACGATACAGAATATATGGACCTCAGCCAGTGTAAGGGGGTTCTGTGGAGAAAGGCATGACATACTATGGGGTGGGTCACAGAGACCAAAAGATGCAGACAAATGAAGGATACTCAGTCCAGTTAGGCCAGGACAGTCAGCACCTAACAGTAGGGACTGGTCGGACCAAGCAGTGTAGTGCTTTAGGATTAGAATGTCAGGCTAGGCCCTTAAAGCTCAGTGTAGTGGGTAGTGGACGTCATTAAGGGCTTTCACACTGGTATGGACTGATAAAAATCTAGACCTCAGAAAGATTCATCTGGCTTTTTGGCCATGATGGGCTGGAGCTAAGAAAAACTGAAAGCAGGGAGGAGCCCTTTCATTGGTTCTGTTCTAGAAGGAGCCCGTGAAATGCCCCGTGAAGGAGTTTAACTGAGATTCACTTACAAGAAGCAACTCTGTGCATCTCTGATGAAGGGAGGTGGAGGCAAGATGTAGGATGATGGCAGCACATTGACTCCAGAATAGAGATGGGACAATGTGGGGAGACTGAAACTTCACATGGTAGATTAGATGCCTGCTCTGAAGTCTTTCTCACTACTCTGCATGAGAATACATATCCATGCGTTTTGTCATGAGACTTTTGCAGTTTCCTGCTAGAGATGGAGTCTATTCCTCTGATCCATTATCATTGGGATGACTTTCTTCCACCAACAGAATGTCAGTAGAAGTGATAACATGCTTGGTCTGAGCCTCAAAAGGCTTCAAATTTCTGCTCATGATCGTGTGCTTCATTGATTTGTGATAAGAGCCTTGTTGGCTCTAGCCTGAGTTACAGATTGAACAGATACTGACTCAGCTGCAGTCCAACCCTCAGCCTGGTGCCAAGTTCAGCCAACCTGCATTCCAAAGGAGGCCAGTCCAACCAAGTCCAGCCCAGGTCACCCAATTCTCCATTCATTACAGACCCATGAACATGAGGTTATATCCTTGCTATTGTAAGCCCCTGAGTCCCAGGGTGGTTTGTTACATAGCACTGTTGTGGCCATTACTGACTAATGCATTTTGTCCTTTTTAAGAGGGTGTGGCTGCCTCCACCAACATGGTGCATTCTCCCATAGCGCTGATGGTCTGTGATGACCCAAGAACTCCCGGATCCATGTGAAGAATCTGTTCAATTGTGGACCAGAGTGAGGGATGAGGTTTGAGAAGCTGAAGGGGAGCAGAAGGAACACTCTACTGGGAGTCAGGAGATCCAAGTTCCAGACTCAGATCTGCCATGAATACTCTCAGTGACTTTGGCTGGTCCCTTTCCCTCTCTGGGCCTCAGTTCTGTAACCTGTGAAACATGGTCACACTAAATGCCTCCTCGTTTAACTCCCTCCCCAGTTCAGATATTAGAACGTCGAGTTAATGAGGGACTGTATTAAGTATTACAGTGTTTCACATCAGAATTCCTTTCCTATAGCTGATAAAAATATTTAACCTGTCCAGTCTATCATCGATGGGCATTTGGGTTGATTCCAGGTCTTTGCTATTGTAAACAGTGCTGCAATGAACATTCGTGTGCATGTGTCCTTATAATAGAACGATTTATAGTCCTTTGGATATATACCCAGTAATGGGATTGCTGGGTCAAATGGAATTTCTATTTCTAGGTCCTTGAGGAATCGCTACACTGTCTTCCACAATGGTTGAACTAATTTACACTCCCACCAGCAGTGTAAAAGTGTTCCTATTTCTCCACATCCTCTCCAGCATCTGTTGTCTCCAGATTTTTTAATGATCGCCATTCTACCTGGCATGAGATGGTGTCTCGATGTAGTTTTGATTTGCATTTCTCTAATCACCAGTGATGATGTTTTCAGATGTTTGTTGGCCTCATGTATGTCTTCTTTTGTAAAGTGTCTGTTCATATCCTTTGCCCACTTTTGAATGGGCTTGTTTGTTTTTTTCTTGTAAATCTGTTTTAGTTCTTTGTAAATTCTGGATATCAGCCCTTTGTCAGATGGGTAAACTGCAAAAATTTAAAATGTGGCACATATACACCATGGAATATTATGCAGCCATAAAAAACGATGAGGTTGTGTCCTTTGTAGGGACATGGATGAACCTGGAGACCATCATTCTCAGCAAACTGACACAAGAACAGAAAATGAAATACTGCATGATCTCACTCATAGGCGGCTATTGAACAATGAGAACACATGGACACAGGGAGGGGAACACTACACACTGGGGTCTGTTGGGGGGAATAGGGGAGGGACAGTGGGGGTTGGGGAGTTGGGGAGAGATAGCATGGGGAGAAATGCCAGATATAGGTGAAGGGGAGGAAGGCAGCAAATCACACTGCCATGTGTGTACCTATGCAACTATCTTGCATGTTCTTTACATGAACCCCAAAACCTAAAATGCAATAAAAAAAATTTAACCACCCTTTCAAACTCTCAAATATTGGTTATGGTAGTCCAGAGCTGCCTTGAGAAAGAGACCAAGGCTGTGTCCAAGTTTGGCAAGAGCAAGTGCTATGCTTGATGGCCCCAGGGGTTAGGGAGTGGGGGCACTGTGATTTCGCCCCCTGAAGTAACTGCTGTCCACTGGGACAGGTGCGTGCAGTGTATGTGACAGTCATGCTTGGGGGTTGCCTGTTCAACAGGTATTCCTGTGGAGCTGAGGCAGGTGCCCTTGGCTGCTCCTGGCACTGAGAGCTTTCTGCCCAGGTTTAGCCTACTTTACACCCAGGAGCAGACCCTCTGATACTTCATAGCAATCATAAAAGCACAAAGAATGTGATTTCCTTGGGCTTCTTGGAAGGTACCTGGGAAGCAGGCTGTGTGTATTGCTCACTTCAAATTTCTTGCAGTTTCCCATGGAAGCCCTTGTAATACTATTACCAGTCTGTTTCACTGAGACCTCCAGCTGTGATGGGGTATGTGTGTGCCCATAGTCCCCTCAAAGCCTCAGGAGAGCAACACAGCTCTGTCCTGGAGATACTCCGTCCCAGCTCCAGATATGCAGTTCCCTGTGTGGTCTTGGGAGGCAAGAGCCGGGAGGATGGACTTGGCTCTGGGGTCTGTTATGGCTGCTCCAAGATGCTCAGTTTCTGTAGAAAAGGAGTTCAGCTAGGAGAAGTCTTAGAACTGGAGGCTGAGGCAAGTCTAGAGTCTTCGAGTTAAGCGACAGAAAAGCTGAGCCAAACTGATTTAAGAGGAAAAAACATTTTGGGTTATATAGCTTAAAAAGAACAAGGATAGAATATGGCTGCACATTTGGCTGGATCCAGGGTTCAGACACCACCACTTAATAGTAACACATCCAACACTCCCTTCATATCTTGCCTGTTTTCCCAAGTAGTGGCTCTGCTCTCAGGTAGAATTCCTCCATGTGGTGGCTGTCGTCAGCTCCAAAATTCCTTATCTTCTAAAACAAAGATCAGCAGGGAGAGACCTTGGTTTCTCCCTTTTTGTCTAGCAAAAGTTCCAGGGTGGTATTTCGTTGGACTGCGTAGCTCCTCTGTCCATCCGGAACCAATCACTGCGACCAGGAGTGAGACTCAATCCCTAAGCCAGGGTTGACCCCGTTTCATTGCTAAACAACTGGACAGAGAATGGGGAAAAGGTTATGAAAAAAACAGGGGCATGGCTGCTAGAAAGATAACAACTCCAGCTATCCACGCCACGAGACAAGATCTCTGTTTTTTAGCTGACAGCTGACCCAGCCAGGAGACATTCCTGAGGCTAGGAAAAGCAACAAACAAAAAACACCCAGTCACTCATTATCTGGTGCAAAAACACCACCCAGCACGTATGTGGGTGTTTCCTGCGTTCTCAACACGGTCCTAGGTAACTTAGAATTTAAAAAAAAAGGAAAAATGGCAAATTGCAACACCCCGGTCTTTAGGGATGTGCAATGTAGCTGAGGAGAGAGAAATGAGCACCAAACAGTGAATGAGGTTGACTGATTGAGGTTGAAAGTGTTTGGGTCACACCAGTGCTCCGGAAAATGCAGAAGTGAGAAATTGAGGCGATTATTGTACCTGAACAGTGAAGACAAGAGCCCAAGGGAAAGTCTGGGTTTGAACAGGCACGGGGAGAAAGGTGGGATTCTGGGCATTGGGCTGGAGGTGGGAGGTTTCAGGATGACTCACTCGGGAATCTGGATGCAGAGGGGAGCAGGCTAAGCAGATGGGAAAAAGGCAGGGCAGCCAGCATAGGGCCAGAGTCCGAAGAACTCAGACAGACTCCAAGTACATTAGATTTACTCTGGCAGCAGCAGGGAGCCATGGATGGCTTCAGAGCAGGGGTAGGACACGGCTCTCACCACCAGCTCTGCAAGGTGGCCTGGCACAGCTCAATTTGCATCCTCAAGGACTCAAGAGTGCCCACATTAAAAGTGTGCATGTTAAAATATCAGATATTTTATGATATAGCGTATGATCCCAATTTGGTGGAAAAACATATATAAAGGTGGGACGCTGCCAACCAGTACACAGTGAGTACTGTATTTACCGAACACTCTGGTGCTCACTACAGAGCACCCTCAGTTAATTAGTTCTCACCCTATGACTTGAGTATTATCTTCCTCACTCACAGCTCCAGGACTAAGTTTTATATGGCACAGGTGACTGGCAGAGGTGGGGTGTGATTCTGGGTGTGTCAAAATCTACAGTAGTCTCTGTGCTGAAGTGTTAAGCATGATTACAACTCTGGGGTGGATTACAAGAGGTTTCCATTTTCCTTTTAAAACTTTTTGGGTGGGCGTGGTGGCTCACACTTGTAATGCCGGCACTTTGGGAGGCCAAGGCAGGTGGAACACCAGGTCAGGAGTTCGAGACTAGTTTGGCCAACATGGTGAAACATCATCTCTACTAAAAATTCAGTAAATTAGCCAGGCATGGTGGGGTGCTCCTGTAATCTTGGCTACTCGGGAGGCTGAGGCAGGAGAATCACTTAAACCCAGGAGGTGGAGGCAGTGAACAGAGATTGCGCCATTGCACTCCAGCCTGGGCAACAAAGCAAGACTCCATCTCAAAAAAAAAAAAACTTTTCAATAGCTTAAAAATAATCTACTGTGGGCCAGGCGCCATGGCTCACGCCTATAATCCCAGCACTTTGGGAGGCCGAGGCGGGTGGATCACGAGGTCAAGGGATAGAGACCATCCTGGTCAATAAGGTGAAACCCCGTCTCTACTAAAAATACAAAAATTAGCGGGGCATGGTGGTGCGCGCCTGTAGTCCCAGCTACTTGGGAGGCTGAGGCTGGAGAATTGCTTGAACCCAGGAGGCAGAGGTTGCGGTGAGCTGAGATTGCGCCATTGCACTCCAGCCTGGGTAACAAGAGCGAAACTCCATCTCAAAAAAAAAAAAAAAAAAAATCTACTGTGCATATATGTAATTTTTGCCAGTATAAAACAAATATATGTTTTTTTAAAATTCCTCTAGCCCCCATGCTGTGGAACCTTAGGCTTCCAGAGAAATAACCTATTACAACTAGCATTTAATTCCTCCAGCACTTTGTCACAAAGCCAGCTCACAAAATGGTAGAAAGAGGCTTTACTCTCAGACTTGGAGTCACTAAGATTGTCACAGCACCCATTTCATTCTTTGACATTTCCTTTTATTGTCAAATTAATTTTAATTGCATAAATAAAATCAAGATAACTGCTTCTTATAAAATATTATAGATAAGACTAAAGTATTATTTGACCACTGCCCCTCCCATCCAATGGCCACCGGCGAGATAACTGTAAGTATTGATTGGGGTGTGTCCTAGACATTTCCCTAGTATTTACATACATAAATATGTATCCAGAAAAGAATACGGTATTATTGCATGTGTGATTAACACAATTGCATCTTATTTTATGCATCATTCTGCAACTTGCTTTTTGCATCCACCAGGATGCCACAACCTGTTCTGGGAAGCTGTGAAAGCCAAGAAATGTCACACGGACACTGCACATGGGTGTTTTCCAGGAAAGAGAAAGCCCTCCAACCAAGCACTCTCTGGCCGTGCCTGAGCTTTTATGTAGCCTCTTCAGGCTAGAATAGTGTCTGCTCGGGGCCAGGACATGATGTGCACTCGGCAGGTGGAAGTCGTTATCCCTGGCCACCATCGGGGAGCTGAAGGCTTTAGTGACTTGAAGAAACAGTCATGGACACCTGCATGAAGACCACAGCTCCATCACTTCTTCCCGAACTGGGGCTCAGTTTGGCATAGAAGCATAGAAATGAAGCTTAGGGGAAGGCCCTTCAATATGTGCTTCACCCAGAGAGACATAGGAGCAAGGTGGCAGGAACCGGCAGATTTGTCCTTTTCTGGAAGAACTGTGCAGGCATAGGAAAAAGTTCCAGCAGAAGCAATAATAAATTAATAAAGAAGAGGAAATGGGACCACATTTACTTTCATTCCTTCGATAAACATGGGGTCTTCCATGAATCAGATAATTGGGAAGCAGGGGAGAGCTAACTTCTCATGAGCCCAGGTGGGCGGGATGTGAACTGGACTTCATCTGATGTAGAAAAGATAGAGATGAATCGTCTTGTGTTCTCAGTGTCACAGTCATTTTCATAATCCCTTTCATGGTCTCTGGAAAAGAGCCTGCAACAGCCAAAGGATGGAAGGAGAACCCATGGAGGTGAAGCCCGGGCAGAGGGAGTCCCAGAGCTGCCTCCCAAACTGAGGCAAGAGGAGGCCCAGGGACTTCATGGAAGGAGGCCCCTCCCCGAGATGTGGACCCTGCACTTGCATGAACACCAAAGTGAGTGTTGATTTATGTTTGCACCCTCAGATGGAACTTCCCTTGCACTATCTCAGTCCTCGGACCAAACCTATTCATGACAGGAAGTAAGGACAAGTGCAGAGGAGGCTGGCCCAGGGCTCAAACACATCCAGGTTCAATGACCAACTCGGATTCCTCACAGCTGTGTGGTGTTGAAAGCCTCAGTCCACTCTGAGCCTCAGTTTTCTCTCAGGTAATTGAGGAATCATAACACCCACCTCACACTCAGTGCACAGGTGCCAAAGAGCCTAATGTAAATGCTCAAAGAATGTTGGTTTCCTTTCACTTGAAGTCTTTATCCACACTGATTAGTAACAAGAGGTCCCCGACAGCCCCACACCTAGAGTCATGAATGAGACCCAGGCTCACAGAGGCTTGCACCATTCTCATATCCCCTAACCTACTGTCCCAGGTCTGGCCGGCCTCCCTTCCATCTC